TTGAACTCAAACAGTATATGGTACAGGTGATTCAGTCTATAGGTCAATATGTGGGTCTATCTCTTGAAGACCCACAAAAGCACATTCAGAACTTCTTGAAAATTACGGACACTTATAATTATTCGGACGTTTCCAAGGACTATGTCAGGTTGACACTGTTTCCCTTTTCACTGCTGGGGGAAGCTAAGGAATGGTTGCAAAAGGAGCGGGCGAACTCAATCCACACTTGGGATGATCTAGCAAGAAAATTCTTAATCGAGTAATTCCCCACTAAGAAGACAAAGTCGCTGAGGAGCCACATTCTTGGGTTCCAACAGCAGGATGGCGAGACACTTCGTCAAGCTTGGGAAAGATACAAGAAGCTACTTAGAGATTGCCCGCATCATTGTCAGACTGATGAAGTGTTGGGTCATACTTTTGTTGATGGGCTAGACGAGGCATCAAAGATGAATCTTGATGTAGTTGCTTGGCGAGACCATATAGTGAAATCCAGCTCCTGCTAAACAACTTCACTACTAATGATCATAACTGGCAAGGAGATGGGGACTCACGAAGAGCAATTAAACATAAAGCAGGCGGTGTGATTGAACTTGATGACTTCTCAGCCATGAGAGTGGATATAGAAAAGTTGGCAAATTAGATGAATAGAATGACAATGCAACAAATACAACAGATGCAATATGTACAATAAATGTCTAGCTACTTACTGCAAACTATGTGGTGACAGTCACATGAGTGACATGTGCCTCATGAATCCTGAATTTATTTACTATGTGGGGCAATAGAGCAGGGTACCGATGAACCAGCATGCACAATATAGGAACAGTTACAATCCAAATTAGAAAAATCGTGGCTGAAATTTAGTGAAGCATGGTGAATAATTAATGCATTTGATGCTATTGTGAATGTGTGAGGTATATTTGCATTTTTCTTTCCTTTTCTATGTACAACAGTCAGATAATTGGACTCGAACTTGATATTATGTTTACAATGAACAAGTCATCTATATATCTTACATTCCCTCTTTAACATTTGTTGGATATTGGATCATGTGTCGCCTCATGTGAGCTGACCCGACCAGGTTAAATAAGAAAAGAGTAGGAAAAGTTATTATCTAGAGAGAAGTTACCACCAGGTTACGTTAAAAAAAGTTAGGAATAATTTTCTCATAACTTCTATTTTCTCTTCCCTAAAAACAGAAATCACCGATCTCTCTAGGATTGAGGATTGAAAAATTCCCTTTTTCCTTCTTTTCCATGGACAGAGAATATGTGCTCTCATTCTCCACACGAACAAACACACAAAGCAAAAGAGGATATTTAGTTTTGTGGATCAAACTCAGTTCTATAGTGAATTGAAGTTTGGCTTGGTGCTATCTTTCTTTTGTGTGTGTGGTGAGTTCAACGATTTTTTCGTTGCGTTAACAGGTACACAATTATTGTTCTTGCCTCGCAATTTGTTCTAATTAACAACATTAAACAGTTGATCACTCTTCTAGTTTTCATTAAACTGTATTATTAGTCATTGCCTTTTTTCGCTTTTAGTACTGAAGAAAGCCTAATAATTTCTCCCCCTTCCCTTTTGGAAACTACACCAAACCCAAGAAAGATCACCCAAAACGTGGGTACTGGGGCCAGTTGTTTGAAATATAGTTTCCGATTGCATGTATACATCAATAATGTAATTGAGGCGTAACCCTGCAACGATAAAAGTTGCCGCAATATGACTAGAAGATTATGGTTTCAAAAAGGGGAAATTTGTTGGCCCAAGTGAAGGATTGTTTTGAAGATTGACAAAGAAAGCTCAGGCATAAACCGTGTCCATCTCTTGTGTGCATAGACACGAGCAAATTCGAGCATGTGGGATGCACGTGAAGGAGATAAGTTCAACTTGGTATAATTAATATCTTCTGATCGAAAAGGTTGCATAAGTTATAAAGAGAAGGACTCCTTGATCAAAGAGAACACTATTCAAGATAAGGGAGGAGTTAAAAGTTGAGATCAACTAGAACTCTAGTTATTTCTTAATCTACTAACTCTGTATATTGTAGGATGTTCTAATTTTACAGGTACGCACAAACGCAAAAGTTAAACGTGAATTGAGAGAAAAATAGCAAGACATTTTACAAGCAGTTCGTTTGTGATTCAAGTGTGCAAACCTGAAGCTACATGAAGCAGATAGAAGAACCAGTTCCAAGAGTCTGTCTTTTATTCTAGTTCAATTGTAGTAGGAATTTTCATATTGTACCTTTCAGCTTTATCTAGAGCCAATTGTAATAGGTATTCAGAGTATTCAAGTTAAAGTTAACTTGAAGTTGTCGCAACAGTTAGAGGTTGTTTGCCACAACGGGATTAGAGCGAATCCTAGGTTTACAAAAGTGTTTTGTAAATGTAGTTTTTGGCCCAGTGATTTAGTGGAGAGTTTGGGAAAATCCTACTGAGAAGTAGGTCGTAGTTTTTTCACCTTTTGAGCCAGGTGTTTTTCACGTAAAATACTTGTGTTCCTTACTTTCCGCATTTATTATTTCAGCAGTAGTAGGTTAAGGAACACTTAGAAGAACCAGGTCCTTTCATAATCAGTTTAAGCGAAAAATTGGACACCACCCAAATCACTTCCCTCCCCCCTCCGCCCTTGTGTGGTATTGAAGTTAAAACATCAACTGCTTTATCTAGGATTGAGGATTGAAAAATTCCCTCGTCCTTCTTCTCCATGGACAGAGAACATGTGCTCTCATTCTCTATACGAACAAACACACAAAGCAAAAGAGAATATCTAGTTCGTGGATCAAACTCTGTTTTCTAGTGAATCGAAGCTGAGCTTGGTGCTATCTTTTTTTTGATAGTGAATTCAACTATTCTTCCATTGCGTTAACAGGTACACACTTATTATTCTCTCGCCTCGCAATTTGTTCTAATAACATTAAGCAGTTTATGACTCTTCTAGTTTTCATTCAAGTGTATCATTAGTCATTGCCTTTTTTCGCTTTTAGTGCCGAAGGAAGCCTAACAAGTTCCCCTCCCCTTTTGGAAACTCCACCTAACCCAAGAAAGATCACCCAAAACGTGGGCATTGGGGCCAGTTGTTTGAAATATAGTTTCCGATTGAATGTATACATCAATATTGTAAATGAGGTGTGCCCCGCAACGATAAAAGTTGTTGTTGTATAGCTAGGAGATTATGGTTTCAAAAGTCGTGAGCATAGATAACGTATAAGTTGCGTACATAATATTCAATATAGTCCGATTCTATCTTAGACCTGGCACATAATAAAGCTTAGTGTATTGAGTTGTCCTTTTTTTATTAATAGCGCAAATAATTTTGCATTATTGATATATAGGAGCATCTCAACTCAAACAAACTTCTTTAATTGCTTGAGGGAATGTTATGAACAGCTGTGTACGACGTGAGAGGAAAATCTTCTTCATCATCATCCCACCTAGTATATATCATCAAAAGAAAACCATAACCACCACATTGTAGTAATATAGTACCATTCCATGTATTTGACAGAAAAGGGAAACGTTCCAAACAACATTTTATAATTCTAAAAGTAGGTTTTCTACAACAACCAATTCTAAACTCATCAACCAGTTCCAATCACCAAAGAATTTAGGCTGAATACATACAGAGACACTTAAAGTTGGCACGATTTTTCATTTAGACGCCTAAACTTAAGGGTGTTCCTATTGAGCATTTATGCTGCCCGAAACTTATTCCAATTAAGCACTTCTTGCTAAGTTGGCACATAAAGTGAGTTTTACCCAATATAAGCACGTGAAGAGCCAAAAAAAAAAAAAAAAACTTTCTTTTTTTCCCTCCTCCTTCTCCTCCTCCTTCTTCTTCTTCTTCTTTCTCTCCACCACCATTTCCACCATTGCTTCCTCCACTTTTACCATTGTTGTGCCTCCACCATTGATTTAGTTGAAAAGTCTGAACCAACAATTGTCCCTATTGATTAAAACTGAAATGAGTCCGAGTTCTTCATTTAAAATCAAAACACCATTAATGGGGTTTTTAAAAAACTTAAAGGCTTAAAATGGGTTACTTAATTTGATGAAAGTTGGGGTTGTCTTTGGGTCGTTGTAGGGAATCTTTAGCTGAAGTTATAACAAATTTGGAGGAGTTTCTCTTAAAAATTTGGATTAAAATCATGATTGGAACAAGAACACACATGATGATAGTGAAGAACACCAAGAACACTGATTTCCAGAACAAATGTGTCATTTGTTTTTAAAATGTATTCTTTCTTGGGTGTAAATTAAGTTTTTCTTTTCTTCTTGAGAATGTTATTTTTATTTTGTTTATTAAATAGATTTAACATAGTTTTTCCCTTTTTTTAACTCAAAATGATATATGTCTTTTTTTTATTCGTTATTCGCCACGTCAGCATCGAGTGCATTACACAAACTTTGTAAGTTTGGCTAATTGTCAAAGAAGTACTTAATTGGAATAAGTTTTGGGTAGTATAAGTGCTCAATAGGAACACCCTTAAGTTTAGGTGTCTAAATGAAAATTCATGCCAACTTTAAGTGTCAGAATCCGTATGTATTCAGCCAAGAATGTATCCAAAAAATCACCATGCACTACCAAAAACAACAATAACAAAACCAGGGTAATTCTACAAGTAGGTCTGGAGAGGGTAATGCGTACACACACCTTATTCCTACCTTGTAAAGATAGAGAGGTTGTTTCCAATAAATTATCGGCCCACAACGAACAACAAACAATAGCAACAACAAGGTAATATGGTAACAGAAGCGAATGACATAATATGTAATAATAACAAATTAGGAATAAGAAAATACAGGAATAGTACTATTGGTAAGCTTAGGAGAAACTCACGACTATCTGCCAACAATGCACTACCACCTACAAAAAATTTCCCTTATCTCACTTATCAAACCCTATTCCCCTACAAGCTTTCATACTTTCTGGAAGGTAGAAGTTATTCAATGAAATAGTTAATATAGCGCATGCAAACTGAACATATACCATCGTCATATAAAAATTCCATCGAATTTGAAACTGAGCGACATAAACAATAAGAATTCATATAGTTGATCTTAATTTTCACGGAATTTGAGGTACATTTATCGTTGTCGTTACATTATGGAACAAGCATTAGGGTTGTCATCACTGAACATGGTCACATAAGCAGGGTCCTCAAATGTGGAAATTGTTCCAATGGTTGGGTTCTCAACCCTTCTAACATAACCAGGAGGAGCTTTCTTGTCATAAGCTGCTGCAGCATAGGGCTGAGCCACTAAATTGTAGGGCACATAGGGCCAAATTTCAGACTTCTTCCCTGTTGACTTTGCCTTCTTTAACACTTTATTTGCTTCCACATATCCTGTTACTGTCACCTTTTGCTGTTTTCTGTTTATCTCTACTGATTTAACTCCTGCAAACATTACAGAAATTATTTAATTACTTATTGTAATTTAATTTATTATAGCAAGTTAATTACAGTTAACAATTTTATCCGGCTACAAATTAGGTATTACTTTATCGCATTTCAATTTATGTAACACTCTTTTCTTTTTAGTTTATCCTAAAAAAAATATAACATCTTTTTATATGTAGAAATAATATATATTTTAAGATGACATATAGTCACAGATTTTAGACCGTAGATTTCAATATTTTTTCTCTTTCTTAATCTTCATGACCAATCAAACAAAACAAAATAAAATTTCTCGGGTGGAGGGAGTAATACGTATCATATATTGTATATACAATATAATAATTATGTAAGTTATCTGATTATATAAATAATTTGTGCATGTTGTATAGACCTTAAACTCATGAAGTTAATAAAAACAAAGATCAACTTTTATCAAAGATGCATAGTATAGCAATTTGAACGTGAGAAAATTCAACCCCTATATACATCATATGCGGGTGGGTGGACGCGGGTGTTAATATGGGTTGGTGAACGCGAGTGCAAATGCTATGCGGGACGGTGGACGACGGGTGGACACGAGTGTTGATACGGAGTGGGTGAACGTGGGTGCAAATACTATATGGGGTGGTGCGGGGCGGGGACGGTTTGAAATTTTGCAGGTTAAGATAAAAGCTGCCCCGCATCCGCCTCGCGCTGCACCGGTTGCCATCTATATACATGCCAATGTTGTGAAGAAGATGAGACTCTAATGTAGGAAAATAACAAAAACATCAAATATTATAGCATACTAGCTATATTATTTAAATTCTTACCACTTAATGAAGACAAAGCTTTCTTGACTTTAAGCTCACAGCCATCACAATCCATTCTAACTTTGAGCTCCACAGTCTGAAACTGCTTCTTCTTCTTCTTAGACTTATGACTACTGCTCATCATATCAGAAATATACTCCAAAGTTCCTATAAGTCCCATATTTTCTTTGTTTTTTTAACTTTATTATCAAACAAGCTAAGTAATTAACTAATTATCACAAGTTTAGAACAAGAAAGTGAATACTAGAAACTTTTTTCCTATGCTTAAAACAAAATTTTTAGCAAAGAAAACCCCCAAAGAGAAGGTTTTTCTAAGGCCAAGTAATTAAAATTCCCTCCAATAATGTAATCTTTACTTGCCTTAGAACAAAAAAAGAGAAAGAAAATGGTTTCTAAGGTTACTCTCCTAAATTTGATATTTTTCTTTACACAGGTCTACTTATAGGCCTTTTCTTCTGAACACATGGGAGGAAAAAGAAAGTCCCCCCCGCCCCCCCAACCACACACACACACCAACAACTAAACATGAGCTTTATATTATAAGGAGCTCAATTGCTCATGCAAGCATGGATTTATATTTTATTTGTTTAAACTAAATATATGCACTAGTAGTATCTTACTTTTGATTTAAAGAAGAGAAAACGCGGTCTGTATCATAAAGGAATAATGAGATACAATATTATAGTAATATTTTGTAACCCACAATTTCACTTTATAAGAGTATTATTATTTAGAGAATTTTAAAAATAATGGTTGATATTAAATTTTTTCATGAAATGTTGAAATTTTTTTAGTTGTGAAGTTGTAATTATAGGACTTCGTATCTATCTTCTTATTATGTAAATTCCATAAATAATATTATGAAGAGAAGGAAACAACCCGGTTCACCAATTAAAGCCCCTAAATGATGGTTCAGTGATAAAGAATGTAGGAGTACAGAGACAACCAAGAGATTTGCCTAGAAGTAATTATCCTTGAAAGAGTACATATTAGCTCTTCTGATTTTGAGTGAAAAGAAGATTTGGCTCTCATACTCTAATCCTCTTTATTCTTTTGTTGAAACGAAGTGAATAATATTTTTCACCTATTTTAATAATATTTGAAATAATAATATTTAAATTTTATATCTAGTCAAATTATTCCTGTATAAATTAAAATGGACGGAGTACGAACTAGTTAACAGGGAAGAAAAAAAAAAAGAAGCAACGGCGCTAAAAAAAAAAAAGAACGAAAAGCAAAATTAAATTTGACTCGGTAAAAAGAAAAGGAAAAGGACAAATGCACATGAAAATTCAAAATAAACCTGATGAAAGGTTGCAACAAAATGTGGGCCAAACTCTATGATTAGAGAGGCAAACCACCAATAATAGAAAGAGTAGCTTCCACGTTTCGAGGTTGAACTTAGACACGTGTCACATACCACTTTCATCAAAACAGCTGGGGTTGCATCACCTTCAGATTTCTATTTTTCCCTAAATTTATTTTTGAATGTTACAGTTAAGTGATGTTATAGAGAATATATATTATAACATAATATAAAAATTGGTTTCGAAAAAATTAGGTTTTTATAGTAAAGTGTTGTTATATAGGATATCGTTATAGAAAGTTCTGACTGTATATGGATGCTGTTATAGAGAGGTCTGACTGTACATATCAAAAAAGAGATTATCGAGCTGCACAGTGTAATTTTCTGGCAATGAGGTGTCGGTTGACACCCCTTTGGTGCATGTGGCTCCGTCACTAAGCCTACCTTAATGCAAACATTAATAATTGCTTCCACGACTCGAACCTATGACTTATTGATCACATAAAAATAATTTTACTATTGCTTCAAGGTCCCCTATCACTAATGGAGGGGTGCATAATTGGGGCTCCCCCTCTCTTTCTATTCCATTCTCAAAAGCTTCTCCTTTTCAATATGAATATAAATTTGTACATATTATTTGACAGCTTGGAATATTTTTACACAATTATTAGTGTACGTTTAGATTACATGAATTTAAATATAAATTAATTTATTTTGCATTTTGTTAAATTTTTGAATTCGAGATTAATAATTCTAAAATTAATTTATACTATAATTGTGGTATGATATTATCCCATATTGAGGGCGGAATAATAATTTCTGAATTACAATAAAATACTATAATAACAAAGATCTCATTTTCAAGACTCTTCCACCACTGTTTTTTCAAAACAATTCAAGGTTAAAATTTAGAAATAAAAATTTATCCCAACTTATCTAGTGTACACCAAATATATGTTTTATATATATATATATATATATATGTTAGCGTGCAACAGCTGAAAAGCCGTTGTTGCTTGCTGCTTGCAGGCTCGAAAATCTCTCTTTCACCTCTCTTCCCTGTCTCAATTCTGATTGATTAACTTCTTCCTTTGCGCTGGCGACTCCATACTTCAGTCCCGGAACCACAGCCATTCAACGGGATTCGAAATGCCAAGGCTCGAAGATCTCTGGGACAAGGAACAATTCTTTAAGGCTGTTCGTGCCCCTTTTGACGACCAATGGCATTAATGGACGAAACATTTATCAATAAAAATATATCCGCAAAATAATTCCGTCACTATTTAATCTCCATATTATAAACCCGTCATTATAATTCCGAGATAACTTGTTCCCCTACCAAACGATCCTTTAGGGTCTTGACTAATTCGAATTCATATTGTATAAGATCTATTAAAGAGGACCGTGTTCACTGTCAAAATTTCTCTAACTTAAAGAAATTATACCTCCTTCCCCGATAAATTCTAACTTAATTAATTTCATAATTTACTTTATGTTCTTAATTTTACTGTTTGATGATATATATCAACCATATAGGAAAATGCATTGACTATGATATTTTGAATGAATCTATTAATATAATATGCTATAGATAAACATTATTAAGTGGTATTCAACAGAAAAATAGATGATGGAAAAAAGTTAAAAGAAAATAATATTAAAAATAGTACAATAATTTTTTCTCGAATATTTCCCTCAAACAAGAAACGCCATTTTATTCCACACTTTGGAAATTCATTAACAGAATATATCGTTTTCCCCTTTTTTGGGTTAATACGCTGAAAATAATTTAAGTAATGACAGTTGTTAATTATTTTCCTTTGACGCGTTTGGTATGACCATATGAACTGGAATGAAGCTGGGCATTATTTTATTAATTTATTTTTAGTAAAGTACAGTTAGATCAACAACCTTAATAATTTAAAAATTCTCCTTTCATATTTCCAAAAGAAAGGAGATAATAGTATTTTAGGATTATATGCATGTGATTATAAGATGGAAACTTCGTAATATGGTCTTGATATAAAGCGATCCTGAAATGAGTAAAAGACAAAAATAAAATTTTTGTATTTATATAAAGAGTTTATATTGACAGTGAATATTTTTACACTATTAGGTCATTTAATTAAAAATCAATTATAAGTAACATTTAATAGAATCATTGATTGGTGATCGGCAAAAGATAATAAGTGGAGTAAACGTACACTAATAATTGTGTAAAAATATTCCAAGCTGCCAAGTAATATGTACAAATTTATATTCATAGGGAAAAGGAGAAGCTTTTGAGAATGGAATAGAAAGAGAGGGGGAGCCCCAATTATGCACCCCTCCATTGGAGATAGGGGACCTCGAATCAAGAGTAAAATTATCTTCATGTGATCAATAAGTCACAGGTTTGAGCCGTGGAAGCAATCATTAATATTTGCGTTAAGGTAGGTTTAGTGACGGAGCCACATGCACCAAAGGGTGTCAACCGACACCCTTTGCCAGAAAATTATACTGTGTAGCTTGGTATTTTTTTTTAATATGTACAGTCAGACCTCTCTATAACAGCATCCATATACAGTCAGACCTCTCTATAACATCATCTTATATAACAACACTTTACTATAAAAGCCTAGTTTTTCGGAACCAATTTTTATGTTATGTTATAATATATGTTCTCTATAACAACACTTAACTATAACATCCAAAAATATTATGAACAAACGGGGCTGTTGTATAGAGGTTTGACTGTATAACAATATTTTATTATAAAAGTGAGTTTTTCCGGAACCAATTTTTATGTTATGTTATGTTATAATATATGTTCTCTATAACAGCACTTCGCTATAACATTCAAAAATATTCGGAACAAACTAGGTTGTTATATAGATGTTTGACTGTATATATATTATATAATGACACCCCTTGACTTCTTGATGAGTTTATTTCTTTATATTTTGACCTACCTCAATGAAATTCTTGACTCCGCTATTGAGTAGGCTATCTACATTATATCCTACCATTCTTCCCCAAACTTTATATGAATATGAAATACTTTATACATCGAGCTGTTCATTCATTACGCCTCTAATAATTCCTTTTTTCTTGACCAAACAAAAGCCCCATTTTCCTAATGTCTGTGGCTATAGTAAGTCCAAAACTCTCCAAACCCACTCATTGATATGAAATAATAATATCACAAAAGGTTGCTAGATTTGGCCATTTGTTTTTAAGCACTTCTTTGAAGTCCAAGCACATTAAGTAAGACTACGTGTGCGCACAATTTTGGTACAAGAGTTATGGGCAGTACTATGGCTTGGAAATATCAAAGAGAGAGGCGCTTTAGCACTTGTAATATTTAACTGAAGAAATACCATTCCAAGAATGTGGTCTAAAAAAGGGAAAGGGCAGTCAAATACATAAAATATCATATATTTATGCAAGATGCGAGGAAGAACCAGACCCCAAGGGTTGATGTGGACAACATATCCTAACACAAATGTTAGTGGCTATTTTTACGGTCCGAACTCGTAACTTATATATAAATCATACAAAAACAACTTTATCATGCTCTTAGGAGCCGAAAATTTTTATTGCATGGCTGAATAGAGATAGATTCAAACAAAGTTTTAGTATGTGTGCGGCAATGCAATCTTCAGACTAATTTGTTCGAAGCAGAAGAACTTTAGGCCTAATTGTCTAAAATTTGCACTTCGATGAGCTAACATCAGGCTCAATTTTTCTGAAGTTTACATTGTGATGAGCCCCACACCGAAATTTGTAGCATCATCCTAATTTGTCCGAAGTTCGCACTATACAACAGAAAAACTTCACACCCCATTCGTCTGAAGTTTGCACTTCGACAACTTTAAACGCTAATTTTTAAAACTTCAGACGTGTATATGTATTCCGGAGGGGGTAAGTTTGCAAATTTTTATATAATATGGGTATAACTATAATGGTATCCCAAAATCGGGTATACCTACATTTCCCCTTATTTAGTGGATTAAATTTCGTCAATAAAAGTAATTTGATGAAATTCTCTTTTAGCAGACAGACTCAGCCCAATAGATGATTTGCACAAATATGATATATTTTTCACTTCCCAGGAAAACAACCATTTGAATTGCCATCACACAACTTTGACATGAATTATTTTGTAAAAAATTTCTTTGGATTATTTTGTAACTGA